TGAAACGTGGTGGTAGGTATTTTTCTAGAAAGTTGTTGATCGGTTGTTGTTCGTTTTGCTGTTGTTGGCTTGAATGATGTTTGGTAGAGACTTCGATTTTGTTGCTATTGTTATTATTGTTGTTGCTGTTATTATTATTGTTGTTGTTATTGTTGTTATGTTTGTAGCTGTAGTGAAGAAGCTTTTTATCTTGCGGTTGTTGTGGCTGATGATGCTGCTGCTGCTGATGTTGATGATGAAGATGATGATGAGTTTGTTTGTTGTAGTTGTTGAGTTTGTTTGTCGTTGTTGTCGGGTTCTTATCTCTATCAAGACGGCTCCTGTGTTGTTGTTGATGTTGTTTGTTGTTGTTTGTCGTTGTATGTGGTTGTTGTTTGTAGTTGTTATTGTTGTTAAAAATCAAAAAAACAATTCACAAATTTGAGAATATAACATAACAGAAAACTTTTAAATTAATCTCAAAAAAACAAAAAAAGATAATTTTTTAAATCACAAAAACCTGAAAATGTTGAGGGCGACGACATCGATGGGCTTAATCTCCTCTTGATTCTCCGTCATCTTCTTTAGCATTTTTTTGTAAGATGGAAAATCGAGTAGCTCACCCTTCCCAAAAAGTTTGGCACAATTTTTCGGGCTTTCCGACCCGCTACCCCGGTCAGAAACCGGCTTCTGTTTAGTTTTGTCTCTATTCTTGTTAAAATTGGTGGTCGTTGGTGGCAGGTGAAGTTGCTGTGGTTGGGATGTTGGTAGTACTGGAGGTGGCGATTTGACTGGGTTGGTGGTTAGCAGAGAATGTTTCTGGTGTAGCGGCTGCTTGTGCTGCTGTAGTTGCTGTGGTTGCTGCATCAACGACATATCAGATTTTGGTAAGATCGACGGCGAGGATGACGACAATTCAGCAGCAGATGACGACGACGGTTTCTGTTTCTGGTTTTCGCCAGAGCCACTAACACCACCAAATCCACCACCGCTACTCGGACCGCTACCACCTCCAACGGCTGTCGCACATAGATCAGCCACTCCTGGACTACCAAAAACGCCGCTACTACTTACGGCTCCACCGTCGGCTTTAACAATATTGACGTAATGTTTCGTCTTCATCATATGGACAGTCAATTCCGGAAGTGATCGGAATGAG